TTTCCAGTCATCGAAATAAGCAAAATTACAAACCAGTGAATAATTAACCTTTTACAATAGTTTATTTTATATAATTTTATTATATAATATTTACTTTAATATGTAAGCTTTTTGTGATACGAATAGGTATAAATTGAGTACAGAAGGTAATAAATAAGACGGAAAATGGCAAATGAGTTGAACCCTAATGCATTATTATAATAGGTGCTCCAGAATTTATTTTTAAAGTAGGATAAATATGAAAACATACCTGCCAAGGGGTCCAAGATGTCCAGCATGAACTACATAACCAGTTTCTACCCACTCGTCAGCTGTTTGGCCTATTTCTTGATCACACCAAACCTCGGCATTTACTGTTGATGGAGGCACACTCGCAACATTGTTATCATTACATAGCCTAAAAATAAAAGGTATAGTCATCTTATCTTCAATCAACAAATCCTTATTGCAAATCTGAGACACAACACAACAAAAAAAGCTTGAATACTAGTTTAGGTCATGCACAAACTACTGTAAAAGGATTAATTATTCACTGGGTTTTAATTTTGCTTATTTCGCTGACTGGAAAATGCGCTAAATTAAAACTCAGAGAATATGTAAAATTTAGCATAGAACACATTATCTGAATGATAAAACCGTGAATTTAAAACCCACTGAATATGCCTGAAATGGTAGAACAGCGAAATTTAAACCCAGTGAAAATTAGTCATTTTACAGTATGACAACATTTTTTACAATTATGACATAGAGGTGCAATAACAGTGCACAGGGCCACTTCATTTATGTTTACATCATGGTGGATGATTGAAAAGCTGTCTCAATTGAAGACAAAAAAAAGAATAGAGAATCTTATCCAAAGTACTTGTAGCTGAGATTATATTTTAGGATATTTTGTTTGCCATTCTCTAAACTTAATTGAACTTAATTGTTGTCCATCATGAGGATGGAAGTATGTCCAAGGAATATACTTTGGACACAAAATGGAAACAAAGTACATGTATACAAGTTCAAACAATGATACAAAGGGAATTGGGAATAGCTCCATTTAGATGCCTGAATGTACACAGTTTTCTGCCAGAACACATAGTTTGGTAATTGTTTAAACAACACTGACTGGTCTAACAACTTTTTATCAGCGCCACTAATTGTAACAGATGGTAGCCCAGGTGTCTACCAAATTATTTGTGGGATTGTGGGAAATTTTTACACTGGTCATGGACAACGTTTTCATAAAGAAACATGCACTTACCATGGAAAGCTTGTTGGACATCCTGTTAAATTCTGCATTACAGAATCAATGTCTGGATTGCCTGGGGTCTGTTTGATTTCAACGTCTCGAAACCCAACCACTTCATGATACAATATAGCTAGAATATAGGTAACTATCAAATTCGAAGATTTTGTTGTAGATTCTATTATAATTGGTAATATCTCACCCTGATGATACCATAATCTCTCAACAGGATCTAAAAAAAAAAGATTTTCAATTTGTATGCTGAATATCTCATCAAGTTTCAGAGGCAGATTTTTTATTTTTTTCAGGGGGGTGGGGGTGTTATCCTTACCATATTTTGTGGTATTGTTCTTTTATGCCATGAATTTCAAGGTCGTTTCTGCAGGTACATGTATACTAAAAGAACAACCTGATGAGGACAAGGACAGCTTGATGCATTATGCTTGGTGATGTGAACATTGGCACTGTTCCTAATACCCCTCCTGCTATCAATTACCACAACCTTCTGGAAACATATAACTACTTTCAAATAATTTATACCCCTATGAGAGTCACTGAAAATTCTAGTTGAATCATCGATCAATTCGTGATTGTGTAATTTGATATTCAGCCAGCAATTTCTCCATTTGTTTTTGAATTCATCAAAATAATTTCCAATAAAATTGACTGAGGTCTGTAGGTTGTAAATTTCTGCTTCTACTGTTTTGATTTTGTTGATTTTTCTACCAAAATTTTCAACTTTTGATTTTAATTCTAAGAGTTGGCTATGCTTGTTGTCATTTGTTACTTGGTTTGAACTGCCGAGGATTTACTGTCATTAGGAAATTGACCATTTTCCGTACACTGCGAGAATCACGCGTTATGCGTGAAATCGAACGTAAAAACAGGACAAACAAAGGTCATAGCGTCGTAGTCGCGTCAAACATCGCATGGGATTCGACAAACGCGAAAGTATTTCGGGGACATTTCCATGCTTAATAATGTGCTGTCCACATTTGATGATAGGCAATTTCGATTAAGTGAGGGTATTCGGAAGCAATATTCCTCTGTCGAAGATCGGCCAGTCAATGTAAGCTGCGAAATAAAGAAATTCTAGTTCAAAATCAAATCGTTCGATTTTTGCGGCAGACGTTCGACGCGCGTCTTTCATGCATCTCGCGAGATCTCGCAATTGTTCGGAAAATCACCTATTGCTTTTACTTCAAAGCTGAATATCTCATTGGCATAAATGAACACCTTTTGTAGCTCTACAGTCATTACATTTAATCATTTAATCTCGATGGTTCGGTGTTGACTGGACTTTTGTAGTAATATTATGAAATAAGTTTCACCAGAGGTCAGAGAAAACAATGTTCACTCCCTCTGTTTGCTCTTGTTCCATTTCACTCTAAACAGAAAGTTTTGCCTTTATATATCATTAGTCAAATTTATTGTTGAGCTACATTTGTAGTTATGCAGGACATGCAAAATAAAGCTGATGAAACAGAGAATAATAAACTCTTTAACCAACACGATGTTGATATTATAGTTGTACTGTACAAGTTTTATAATCACTACAATCATTGGGGGTGAGCTACATCACAGAACATTCTATGTTGCTAAGGAGTGCACCACTGTACCATGTTTTTCTATGGGGGCTCTGCGCGAGCTGCTGTAGAGCGCAGGTCGAGGAGCTGGTGAAAATAGCTGAAATCGAGAAAACAACACAAACTCAACTTTGAAGTAATCCTGAACAGCCAAATTTATATATGTTGAACATGCAGGGCTAATCTTTTTACACTGTTCAGGGGAGTCTGACCAACTACTCCAAAGTACTGTTTTCTGATAGTTTTCGGCTTTTGTTTTCACCGTGGTGGTTGCCAGGCGGTGAAAATGCCCAGATGTCCACTCCCACGGATTACTTATATAATGTAAGGTAGAGTTGAAGCTTACATGTAGATTGATGTTTCAGTTTCTGCAATATTGCCTCTAGTGTTGTTCTTTGCACTACATAAATAGGAGCTGTAAACACTTATATTCACATGGTACTACTACTATTGTGTTTCTGAGTGCTTAAGTACATCATAAATTATTTGTTCATGACAGCTAATTTTTTTTTTTTTAATCTAACCTTTGTCCAAGAGCACTATTATGGATACAAATCCAAAAACGTTTTATGATAAATTGATAGGATACATGATACATTTTTGTGTCTAGATATTTTTTGATTGCTCCGAGAGTATTTCATCTTTAAATGATGCATACTGTATTCCTCTGGTGGCTACATAAACAACAATTTCAAGATGCTTTGAATGAATGAATTAACTTGATCATCTAGAATCATTTTATAATTGGCTAAACAATCTAAATATCATATGTGTTAGAAAAATGTGACAGGCCTGTATGTTTTCCAGACAATGAAAATATTATCTATATTTATTTATTTATTTATTTATTTATTTATTTATTTATTTATTTATTTATTTATTTATTTATTTATTTATTTATTTATTTATTTATTTATTTATTTATTTATTTATTTATTTATTTATTTATTTATTTATTTATTTATTTATTTATTTATTTATTTATTTATTTATTTATTTATTTATTTATTTATTTATTTATTTATTTATTTATTTATTTATTTATTTATTTATTTATTTATTTATTTATTTATTTATTTATTTATTTATTTATTTATTTATTTATTTATTTATTTATTTATTTATTTATTTATTTATTTATTTAT